GAAATAATAAGCAGAAACTGTGTTCATGTTTTACTCTAGTGAGAGTACTGCTATCKGTGCGACAAAATTTCATGTTTTACTTTGAACCATGGCGCGCGTTTTAGTCTTTACGTTGAAAATTACTTTAAGATTCCAAATTCCCTTAAAGACTGGCATCGAGCAGGCATCCTCTCAGTCTGTCCGTTGAATATCTTGATTCCCGTTATTCTAGATCCCTAGATTAGAGTTTTAGAGATTTAGAATAACGGGAATGACCCATTAAGACCTCAAAAACGCTTACTGGACAGACCGTTAATTGTAAACTCAAGAATCTTTTGTTTTGGGGGTTATAATTTCCAGACTTTTGGGGGAAGGCACAAGTTAAATTAATTAACTTCACAACTCGGGTTAATTAACTTAGTTACTCAAGTTAATTAACTTAATTACTTGAGTCAATTAACTTAATTACTCAAGTAATTAACTTTTTATATCTGGGTTATTAAACTTAATTACTCGAGTAATTAACTCGAGTAATTAATTTTGTTAATTAATTACTCATTTCAATGACATTCAAAAGATCAAGACATCTTATATATAAGCCTGATACCAGGGGGTATAATGAAACGCACAGTGGTCTTCAAGTTTACTCGTATTGTTGCGCGTGCCAGTCATGTTGATTCCTTGTTCCACGCTATACACCGTGTTATTTGCTGTTTGGTACATTTTCTACGTACTAAACTCCCCTCACACAAACACCGTGTTATTTGCTCACTAATTTGCTCACAAAAATATTCCCCCCACAAAACTGTAGCAACAGGAGCAACTGTTACGGCTAGCTGAAGAACAACAGCAAGAAGCACCGCCACCAGCAAGAACCGGGGCCCGCCGCAATGGCAAGGACGCTTGGATCAAATAGTAAGATAAAGAAAGGTCAAAATCCCGAGGTTTCATTCTCAAATCTATCTGTCATAAAGCAACTTGTAGTGTACTACTATTGGTCTTACTGCCAAACAGAAGGACAGCAAGGCTGGGATATTTCAAAATCCGGTTGCACAGAACATTGGAGGCACTATCAAGTTATTCATGAGCATTGGAAGACTAGAAGTGGATTTTATAATCGAGCTAAAGTAAGAATCGTGTTGTAGTAAGAATCGTGTTGCTGTACATTCATTGCTGGTTTCTTCTGTGTTGTCCTGCTCTCAATAACTTCTTCTTGCCTCCAAAAAGAAATTAGCATTCCTAGCAGAGGAACTTGCGAACATCCCATCATTTGAGT